TCCACGCCAGGCTCACGCACGCCCTCCCCAAAGCTTTAAGGGTCAGCAAGGCAGCAGAGCAGGAGGTTCTGGCTAGAGACAGAGAAGTCCGGCTCGATGACTCCTCTGCACCCTCCAAATGGCCAAATTATTCCTCCTTTCTTTCCTGAGCATGTCTGTAACATGCTGCAAAAGCTGAGCCTCATCGGAGTTCCATGCTGAGCCCCTAGCTTCTGCACACCTTGCTCATCAGTGTGTGCACAATGGCTTGCTTTCAGCATGTGCGTTTTAGCTGCAGCAAGAGCTTCTTACTGTAGTGCCTTCTGAGAAGATGCTTGCTGACTTTGGGATCACAGACCCCAGTCTTCCATCCCCCCTCAGCCAGCAAGTGAGACCACGGTGGTGTTCACACTGACAGCTTGGCAGTAGGGTCACCTGAAGCTGCCGACCCACCACTTGGCATCATGACAATTGGCCATCCTTCCTGTTTCCCCCCTTCCACCCATCTGCTCCTCTTTTCTGTTCCTTCCTTCATTCATGCATTTGCTTTTCAATCAAAAAATATTTATTGAGTATCTATAATGTGCCAGGCACAGGGGATACAGAAATAAATCTAGAGGCTGCAAACCGGTGGCACTTGAGCAGGTCTGGCCTGCAGGTGCATTTTATTGGCTCACAACATGGTGTCTTAAATTTGCATTCACTGCTGACACATAACAATGGGGTGATTTCATGTGCAAATGCTGATATCGCTGATATCAGGCTTCTCCCCCAACATGTGAAGTTCTGGCCCACGTTCCTACATGGTATTATTTTCCCCTTCGGGTAAGGCCAGTCCCTCTGATTCCTCGCAGACCCTAGGACTCCGAGTTGTCTGGCTGACACCAAAATAGCTACCATCTAAGTCCCACAGATGAGCTGCTTCTCCCATTTATGTGAGCCATGTGGTCCCATGTGCACTTGACTCTGTGGCCCCTGATGGAGACTCTGATCTGAGGGTGTTTATGGTCCAGTGGGGGAGACAGGGCCATGGATAATTTCAGAATGTGAAAAGTGCTGTGAGAACAGTGTACTCTGGGAGCCCGGGAGCAAAGGAGTGATATTAACAAAAAGAGTCACAGCACAGTATTACCAAAGGGAAAGGGGGGGGTGGGGAGGTAGAAGAAGGTATAGGGGATAAATGGTGATGGAAGGAGATTTGACTTGGGGTGGTAAACACATAATATAATATATAGGTGATGTATTATAGAACTGTATACTTGAAACCTATATAATTTTATTAAACTATGTCACCCCAATAAATTCAATAAAATAAAATAAATATGTATATTAAAAAAGAGCCAGGGGCTTCATGAAGAAGGCGAGTTTGGAGGCAGGTCTGGAAATGCAATGAGGATACGACAAGATGGAACCGTGAAGTGCAGCACAAAGGGATCGGTCTGTACAGAAGCTCGAGGGGGGAACAGCAGAGAGGTCCATGGGGCAGGGGGAGGCGAACTTGAGCGGAGGTGGGAGTGAGGCTCTTCTCTCTCCAGTGGGATAGTCCACAGCCAGCCCTGTCCAACCCGAAACCAGAGACCATGGGCCCTTCACACCCGTTTCTGGCCAGCGGATACCCTTCCTCCGGCACTTGCCCCAGACAGCTGGGTGTTCCTATGAGCAGGTCCCCACCTGCCTGCCAAGATTTGCCTGGAGTAACAGTCCTGCTCCTCCTCCCCAACCCAGCCTGGAGCCCGGGTGTGGGGGCAGAGGGAGAGGGAGAGGACAAGGCAGGAATGTCTTCATCCTCGGAGGGCACTGGGGGCCCTGGCACAGGCCCAGTGAGCAGACAGGCTGATTAAGGCTCCATGGTCCCCCTACCTCTCTGGCACCTTTCTCTCCTCATCCTTTGAAAGCCAGAGTTCCTCAACACGTGAGTTTCCCTGGTCCTCTCCCTCGGCACCCTCACACATTCATCATCATTCATAGGCTGCTGTCAACGCAGAGCTGAGGGTGGCCTGTGGAGACTTGCGGCTTTTGAGCAGTTCACCTTGGAGAGCTCACAGGTGCCTCAAACCCTACCAGCTTCCATTCCTTCCATGCCCCATGTCCTGGCCTTGCCCCGGTTACAGACACCCTTCAGTGCCCTCTGCCTCACTCACTTCCCTCGCCTGGAGCTCCCTTTCTCGCCCTTTCTACATGTTGAAATTCTTTCGTTCTTCAAGCCCCTTGATGCATGACACCTCCCTGAACTTTCCTGATTCAAGCAACCACCAGCAGCAATCACATCATAACATTGCCAGAAATCAAAGAACTTGCCCATGACCTCGATGCCCCAATCAATACAGCATTTCGAAGCCCGAGGAGAACTCAGCCACTGAAGATGACCTAGTAAAGGTGCCTTTACTCCCCGCCTGTGTGTTTCTTTTCTGCAGTGAACAGAGCAGTTCATGGTGGTGGTGATGAGTCCTGTGCCTCCAAGCAGATCCCATGCTGGTCGAGGGCAGGAACCCATGGCTGTGCTTGTCCTTCCGGGCACGCGGCACACGGCTGCACGAAGGCTGGGCCCAGCTGCATGTGGTTAGTTGCCCGAGCGAATCAAACTCTTGGTCAAAGGGATGAGAAGTCACGCTGCGTGCAGATTTGTCGTGAAGGCTATCACTTCAGTGTGGGAGTGACTGGCCAGGAGAGGTGACACCTGCAGCGTGAGGGCACCTTATGGCCAAGAGCCTCTTTTCCTGGAGCATAAAATGTGATTAATGGGGAACTGGTTAATGCAGCCACTGGTTAACTTAGGGTAAAGGAGACCTGAGGCGGAAGGGAGGAAGGAGTGTAGACCTCCCACAATCCCAAGGCCCTGAGCCTGGTGAGAGAAGCCAGGGTCTGCTGATGAGGGGAGCCTTGGCGTCTCTGAAGTTCTCATCTCTGGGACTCTGGGCTATCCAGAGGATTTTGGCCAAAAGTCAAGGGATCTCAGCTTGTTTCCTACCACTTGCTTGGTCCCATGTTCCTCTGCGGCTTCCCACAGTGGTCTTCTCCTGGGCTCCCTCCTGGCCGCATCACCACTGGCTGTGGCCTCTGGCTGCAACACTGCTGGCAGCGCCACTGGGGCTCTGGGTGGCCAGTGCCAGCTCCAGGGCTGCTACTGTTGGGCTGGGGCTTCTGCGAAGCAGCCTGGGGTTGGGGTCTGGGGATACTGGGTAGAACTAAGAGAGGCAGCCGGGCAGGGCTGGGTGGAGATGCACATCCTGAGATATGTCACCGACTTGGATCCCTTCAGAGACTACATGGTCTTCTTATTAATCATTTACCAGCAAGTTACAGTCTTTTACTGTTTACCAAGACTTTCATATATTCTAACTTCCTTGAACCTCACAAGTACACTATACCTTGGGTGTATTCACCATCCCTATTTTACAGATGAGGAAACTGAGATTCGGGGCAATTTAAATGACTTGTTTAGGGTTTGAACCCAAATCTCTTGACTCTAAAACATCATATCATTCTACTACACCTGTTGCCTCCCAAGTCCTATTTCCAGGTAGAGCTGACTCATCAGCATCCTTTCTGTGTGAAAGGGCACCAGAGCTGGGAAGTGACTCAGCACCAGCCTCAGGCCTGGGACTTCCTGTCTTCTTTCTCCTGCCAGAGAGCCAGGCTGAGGTCCATCTATCCTTCACATCTGGGGAAGCACAAGGAGTCCAGCATCTACGGTCAAAAGGGAAAGACATTGGGAGGAAAATCTCAAACCCAACTTTGGGAACCACACTGGAAGACACTGCTCCTAGTGTCTTAGGCTATTTAATTCTTTGGTACATTCATTTGTTCATTCAACAGACATGTATGGAGAAGCTGCTAAGCGCACCAGGCAGTGTTCTAGGCACTGGGATTACAGTGGTGAACAAGACAGGCAAAGTCCCCGCTCTCTTGGAGCTCTTGTCCTAGTGTCAGGGGGCAGTGAGCCAGGCAATGGTGAACAAAATGTTCCACGGTGCCGGGGGCTACACAGACACTAGGGGAGGGTGATGCGATAGAGTAATTGGCAGGAGGTGGGAGCGAGGTCTGCTTGGATTAGTTGCTTTTTTTTTTTTTGCTTTTTTCTTTTAAGGCCTTAGAATGAATGAATTTGTCAATAGTACTCCTTGTGTGGCAGCCTTTTCTGTGCCCCTGCTTTGGGTGAGGTTAAAGTGCTAAGTGAAAGTGAGTCATTTGTATGCTGGTGGTTCCTTAATAGAAGACAGGTATACTGTTACCCTCTCTGGGTGTGGACCAGTGATTCCCAAGTGTAGTCCCCGGACCAGAGGTAGAAGCAGCAGCACCTGGGAACTTGTTAGAAATACAAATTCTCAGCCTCTACCCCAGACCTACTGAATCAAAAAATCTCTTTGAATAAGGCCTCCGGTTGATTCTGCTGCACACTAAAGTTGGAGAAAATGTGGTGTAGAGTATGTGCTTTAAGATTTGGGGTTACCAGTGGCAGATTCTTACATTTCAGCCATTCTTGTGGTCACAGGAAATGGTCGAGTTTGTAAGATGTTTATCCAGCTTGGCTTGGCGAACAGTCAGTCCTGTGTCCATAAAGCAGGAGGCAAGCTCCTGGCTCATGCTGGGATTGGGCCCAAGCTCTACTGGTTGGCATCACGTCTTGTCTATTCTTCCAGGCGAGCACCTGCTTAGAGGAGGTGTTAGCAGGGGGACACTCATCCTGGAGGGAGCCTAGACGTAGGGTGCAACGATGTGCTTTGTGGAGGCTGATCTAAGTGGAGCAGGTTGTTGATTGTGGCTAGGGTTCACACATTTTTCAAGCATGAAACTGTCCTGGTTTATAAGTCTTTGGTAGATAGATCTACTTGCATCTGTGTTTTGAAGATCAGTGGTGACAAAAGGTCTTCAGTCCCAAGTAGAAAATTATCTCATGACTCTGTTATACACTGAATTCTAATCCAATTTGGTCTCCTTGTCCACTCATAAAATTAGACTGAGGTGACCAGATGGTCCAGATCACCCAGGACTGTCCCATTTCCCCGCCCTGTCCCTCTCAGTCTGGTGTCTCGGATTTGGCCCTGCGTTGCCTACTCCTGCTGGATCTTGTCCAGTTGAGAGACAAAACATCCTGACATCTTCCTGAAGAATGGGAAGAAAGATTTTGGAAAGCACAGATTGCAATACTGAGGAAACTGACACCTGAAGGGTTGCACCCACACCGGCAGGAGCCCCAAGAATGGCTGGAACTGGGGACTTGCAGGCCCAAGAACCATGGCGGTAAGTCTGTTTCTCTGGTAGGGCTTAGAGTTGGGCTAGGAGTAGGTAGGAATTGGGAGGTGGGGCTGGGATGACCCCTACTGGGCCAGAAGACAAAGAATGGGAGGCAGATGGTAAAGCAGGAGGTGACAGGGCATGGCGAGGAATCTGAGCTCTTCAGCCCATGCTGGCCTTGCCTCTCTGCTCACACCTTCTGCCCCTTTCTGAATCCTTCCTCTCTGACCGTGCCGCTCCATCCCTGGGCCCTTCCTCCCTTCCTCCTGCTATTCTATTGGCCCTGCTACTCTTGTTAACCTCTTGGACTGCCTCCCTCCCCAGGCTCCTGCTGTGTCCTGCCCACTGCCCACTGCCCACTCCAGCTTCTGTCTCATTTCTGTTCATTGTTGACATGATGAAAGCGGGAGAATGGTTGAGTCCCATTGTGATAAGCACTCTCCCTGTTTGCAGATGCCAGCAATGACCAGGAGCCACCCACAGCAGTTCCTGAGCTGTCTGTCCAGGACCCACTGAATGGAGCACACACAGGGGTCTTTCTCACTTTGCAGTTGCAAATGCTGGAACAAAGACCAGAAAAGCCAATGACGCAGCACGAGTCCAAACGTTTTTTAGAGTTACCCTGGGAAAATGGTCTAATGAGTTGCGGCCAGTTTTGCCAATGGATATTGTGAGAAGAGAATTCCCTCCTGCATTGGATTCTATCCTGGATGCCATTCCCCACGGAATGTGAAGATCTCATGTCCGCCTTTCAGCAGGCGATTCCTGCTTCAGCTCTGGGAGTTCTGTTAACCTTCTCTACGAAGAAATGTTAATGTCCTCTGAATTCGTGTTCTGGATTAAATAGTCTTACTGGAAACTGGGTCTCTTTAGGTTAGAAGCACCTCTAGACATTCCTGTGTCTCAGAAGTTGCCAAGTTCATGTCACACCTGTTTCGTCTGTGAACAGGGTCCACTCTGACAGCTGCTACCGGGCCTGGTCAGTGTCTCCTGCCATTGGCTCCCTGTGCCTCTCCCCTCCCTGCCTTGTCCCAGGTGAGCCTCACACAGTGGCGACTCTGCCTCTCTTGGTGGGGACCCCATATTTGGCAGGCGTGCTTTGGCTGGATGTGTGAGAGAAAGTGCAGTCTTTGTCAATTTGGAGGCGACTGCAGCCCGGCTCCCTCCCTCCCTGGGAAAAATCAGCGTTAGAGAGGCCAGGCTTCTTTCCATGTGCCAGCTGGTTTCACCCTCACACTCTTACTCTCACCTTTTAGAGTCTCTTCTAACCCAGGGGGGTTGTTCTTTTCTTTCTGCAATCAAAAGTAACTTTGGTTGTTACTTTTATTATTGTAAAGTGGCACATGCTTATGACTTAAGCATCAGAAAGACAAATGGAAGAAGAGACAGCCATCCCCTAATCCTACTTGCCCCAAAGACAGCCACGGCGACTGTTGAAGAGCCTCCCAGATCCCTTTCTAGGCTCTAGTGTCACCTGTGCATACACGTGTAACTAATGTCACAGCACCGCACGTATTCTCTGATAACACCCCATGTCATTTAATGTCTATCACAACAGCTTTTCTATACAAGCTTTTTAAAAATGATCAAGTGATACCTTTAATTACAGAAGAGAAAACTGAGGCCAAGTGTAATGTAAAAAAAAGTGAGGGTGCTAAATCATTTTGTGTGAAGAAATAAAGCCACATGGATATAGCTCAAGAATGCACATCCCCATTTATTTATTTATTTCTTACTTTTGCCATGAGTTACGTGAGTCTGCAGCCACTGTAATGTAAGAGTACTATCCCCAATTACAGAGATGTACCATCTTTGCTTACCTAATCACACATGGCTGGACGTTGAGGTTGTTTCCAGCTTTCCTCTGTGTTAAGCAGCATGAATGACCATGGTTCTAGCTTAATCTTCACATGGATTATTTTCTTAAGGCAATTCCCCAGAAAGAGATCAAAGGACAATTAATGAAGGTTACAAAGACCTCAAAGTATGGAGCCAGCATTAACTACTTTGTGCCTAAATGTGTTAGACACTGGGCCACTGGGAAGGCACACATGCCCTTTCTTAGAGGACTTCACATATCCACGCTTGGGTTACTCCGCCTCCATTACCTTGCCCAGAACAGAGCATAGCTATGAATGATGGTGGAGTTTAGCAGATGGTGAGTGAGGGAGAGGTGGTGTCTGAGTTTGGAATTGGAGTATATCTTGCAATTCCTCATTTGATACTGAGAAATAGTTATTCATTCATTCATAACCCATTTATGGAGCAGCAACTGTTTCAAGGTGCCAAGTTGGAGGCTGAGAAGACAAAGATGAATTAAATAGGGACTCCATCCTCAGGAAAATCACAGCCTAGAGAAGGTCAATGCCTAATAACCCACATGTACTCCCTAGTGGAGTAAGTTCAGTTAGACATCTTAGGGCAGAAAATGTGTACCAGTCTGAAAATCCCAAAGGAAAAACATGAAAGTCACACACAATCCACTGGCCCATTCATCTCAGCTGTCATTTTCGAGCGTCTGTTAGGCAGTGAGACTTACTTGCTTGTGGTCATCCTCACTGGATACAACCTCCTTGAAGGCATTTTCTGTGTCCTTCATGTTCACCTTCAGAGACCTTGGCACCATCTTATGCAACTTATTTGGAAATCTGTTAAGTGAGAGATCCAAATGGGAGTGAGCAAAATTAAAGGTAAAGGGATTCATGAGTTGAAACAAAGTCTCAATGTTTTATGTATGTAGGGAAACTTGCATTAATTCATATCCTTCTGCTTGATGGAAACTTTTTCAATTATTGCATTTTTATAAAAGTAACAATCTCATTTAAGAAAATGTGGGAACTAGAGAAAAGGAGAACTGTCACCCTGCCTCACCATCCTCACCATCCTCACCCAGGGCTGACAGCATTAGTGACCTTCACCCAGAAAAATTGGTATGAACATGGTGTTGAGGACAAGAGTGGAGGAATATGTGAGGATTTCCCCCCCAATTTTTACTTTTAATTAAACATGTTTAATAGTTAAGTATATTCACATAGTCAAGAATTCAAATAGTATAAAAGCACAGCCGCCTGGGTCCCTGACATACCCAGTGGTATCAGTTTCTTATGTATCATTCTAGAGGTTTTCTAGTGCATATAAAACTCTATCTATATATATAAAAGGCTAATATGCAAAGTGTCTCTTGGGAACTCAACCGGGAGACTGGGAGTTCGGTCACTCGCTATGATGTGTGCTGACCACCAGGGGGCGGTGAGGAACGAAAGAAGGCCCCGGCCAGCAGCCAGAAGGCTCCAATCGGCCCTGATCACCAGCCAGGCCTAGGGACCCTACCCATGCACGAATTTCCTGCACCGGGTCTCTAGTATATATATAAAATATGAGTATTTAATGGAGGGCTTAGCAATATTATTACTGAATTTTTAAGTTTAGCCTAAACTATCCTTGTTGATCTTAGTGGCAGGCCTGGGTACAGGTAGAGAAGAGAGAAAAGAGCAGAAAGCTGTGTGTGTGTCTGTGTGTGTGTGTGTTTGTGTGTGTGTGAAGTAGGTGGTTGTTGCTGAGGGAGAGAGTGAAGGGATGAGAAGCAAAGGGACAGAGCAATTATTCGTTCATTCATTTAGTCAACCAGTATTTATTGAGCATCTATTATGTGCCGGATACTATTCTAGACCCAGGAGAATCCAGAGTGAACAAAAAGATAAAATTCCTTGTCCTCATGTACATTCTTTAGAAATGGAAGGTGGTAGTCAAAAAACATAATAAATAAGTGCATTATATAGTCTGACAATGTGATAAATGCTGCGGGAAAAAATTAAGTAGGGTGCAGGAGATGGGGAGTCTCAGGGAACAATTTTAAAGACTGTAGTGTGGACCTCATTGAGAAGGGGGCATATGATTACAGACTTGAAGGAGGAGAGAGAGTGAGCCCTGCGGATACACATAGTTTCCAAGGAAGTAGCACCTGCAGGAGGAAGAGGCAGGCTCTACAGCAGAAGTGTGAGTCCTGGGGCCTCCCTGCCCCCCCCCCCCCCCCCCCCCTCCTGGTGCCCTCTGCACTGAGGCGGGCTATTGCTGAGATTATCCTATACTAGATGGTACTTTTTCCTTTCTCAAAATTTTTATCTAAATGTTTAATTTTACTCCTTCCAAGGCAATTCTGTGGTTTGGATGTTAATTTAGTCCAAGGAAGGAAAGAAGGGCGTAGCACTGTTTTAATAGAAAAGTAAGATTGAAGCTCAGGGAAGGTCCTAGATCTGAAACCAATCCTGCACTTGTTTGCAAGCCTTTGTACTGGGCACATTATTCAACATCTCTGGTCTTAGGTTTCCTCATTTAGAAATTGAAGGGGGTGTAGAGCTGGCTTTAGGATGTTCTTGGACTCCATAGCCAGTTAAGATAGGAAGTGGTGTCGGGTGATGTCTGATAGGACTGCGGGGAGGCAGCGGGGCTGCTGCCTGCCGAGGGCTCTGCATGTGTGCACGCTGCCACCGATTTCCCTGCTGAGCTCAGCTTCACCCTTCAAATAGGATATTCCATCTGAGTAAGCACAGAATCCCTGATGATAACGGAGGAGACACAGTCGCACTGCTAATTGCATTCCTCTCCGTGTGCTCTGTAAGCCCTGCAGGGTGGGCTTCTCCATGCCCCTGAGCTGCGCTGGTTCTCCATCCATGGCCACGCGGTGGGGCCTGGGGACCCTTCTTTTGTTCTTTTGGTGTCAGAGGTTCCCTCCCTTCCTTACTATCATTGCGTTGGATGCTGGAGTCTTTTATCTGCCCTGGAGAATTAGGCAGTGGGGAGGAGAGGGAGTGTGCCATTGGCATCACTGCTGCTCCATGTGGAGCAAAATCACTATGAATTTAAAAATGGGAATGTGTGTAAAAGGTTGTGGGGGCAGAGCTGCAGCCTTCAGCAGCCTCATTTAGGGGAAAACGTGAAGCACGAATAAAAGCCTTCTCTCGTTCACTCTGTAAGTGTGAGTCACCCTGGTTGGAGTTACTTTATGCTGGTTCCTCGGCGTTCCCTCTGTTTTGTTTTTGTCACTTCGCATCTGTAGTATCCTTAGCTGCTGGTAAGCAGGGCAACAGAAGAGTAACATCCAGAATTGTGGAGCTTTTCTCTTCCCTTCCTGGAGTTTGGTGTTTTGTGAAGGGGGCATTATATTTCCTCAGCACTGAGGGGGAAATATACATACTCACATACCTTCCATTGAAAATGGATCCTGAGATGTTCAATGTGTTGACATCAACTTCTGTTGTATTCTCAATGCCTTTTTAAACACACACATGCACGCACACACACACACACGCATGCACGCGTGCACACACACACACACACACACACACACTCTCACACACAATCCCTGTGATACTTCTTACATTTTGTGTGATGCCCTTTGTCTCCATCGACTGTTGTGGAGAGAAATTTTATTTGGAATATTCATACCAAGTCTATCGCTAATTATCACTTTAACAATGTGTTATGGAGCGTATCCATGCAGTCATCTGGAAAGGCACATATGCCATGAAATTCAGGCCTTGCTGTGTACCGGGTGTGCCCACTCCTCGTGTTTCCTCAGCTCTTTGCTCTGGGAGGACGTGAAGGTGGCTTGTCAGGGAGAATGGAGCTGACTTGTAGCTGAACGTGTGCATCCTTCATTCTTGTCTTCATAGCAATAATTTCCAGGGTAAATTGCTTTGAGTATAAGAAAAGCCTTAACTTGAAGTAAAAACCCTTCTGCACACCAAATGCCCATTCCAGAAAGCTCTGGTGAACGAATCTGAGGTCCCCCCAGGTCAGCGCCAGGTGGCCAGATCCCAGCTGTAGATCTCATCGCAGGCCAAGAGGAGGCTGCTGGCCTCAGTGCCTTCCTCACACTCTGGTGAGAAGGGCGGGGCTAAAATCACCCTCTGATGGGCAGATCCCAGAAGCAAATGAAAAGGAACATCACACTATTTGTAATACTTTAAACAATAAAATAAAATTTAAAAAAAGAAAAGAAAAGGAACATCACCATCTCAGGAGAGGACAAGCAAGAATGCCTCACTCTTTTCTTTCTTCCTGCTCTCTTTTCTCTTGGGAAGAAGAATGAACTCACGCCGGGTTCCTTCGTCAGGATTCTCAGTGGACCTGCATATTGCGAGGCTAAATCACATTAGCACAGGGGCACATGGAACTCTTCCCGGCAGGACTTCCTGATGGAAGTGCACGAAGCCCCAGAGGCTGCCTGCGGACGCGGCCTGAAGTAATGGGACATAATGGAGCAGACCTCCTGGCCGAAGAGTTCAGGCGTAGTGCGGTGATAAATCAAGGGGCCTTTGCGAAGAGCCAGTGATGGAGCAGCAGGGAGTGAGCTGCCAGCCTGGTTGCACGTGGCTTTGTGGAGCTTCCTGGGCCCTGCTCTTCACATCAGTGGGGATCCAGGCTCTGTCTTTTGCTGAGGGATATAATTTGGATGGTTGTGGAGTTAAATCTGTTCCCATAAACTTTTTCATGATGAGTTTGATAGCAATAATTCGGAGCTTGTTTTTTTTATTATTATTATTATTGATTTTAGAGAGAGAGGAAGGGAGAAGCATAGAGAGAGGGAAACATTGACCGGCTGCCTCTGCACACCCCACACTGGGGATGGAGCCCTCAACCCGGGCATGTGCCCTGCCCTGGAATAGAAGTGCTGACCTCCTGGTTCATGGGTTGATGCTCAACCACTGAGCCACACCAGCCAGACTGGAGCTTGGTTTTGCTAGATGTTGCTTTAGAAATAATAGTAATTATTTTTTGTTGAGTACTTACTGTCTGTTAGGCACACGATTTATCAAAATCATTAATAAGTCACATTAATGGAGCATCTATGATATACCAAACTCTTAAGCACTTTAGATACTTACCGAGGGCTCTGCATGTGTGCACGCTGGTCCATGGAGTCATCATTTTCATGTGAAGAAATTGAGGCTCAGAACATTAGGTAAACTGTTCAGAGTGGCCCCGCTACTAAACTGCCTGATGGAAGGTAGCGATTTTACACCTTCTTTCTACAGCTATGCCCTTCTTTCCCGTTTTAAAGCAGCAGAAGAGAGTGCCTGAGGAACAGTGCGACGGTAGGGTGCAGGGCAAAAAGTAGGGTGTTTCCTGGCTCCATGTGGTCAGAG